CGTTACACCTGATCCTGATCTTTGATTGGTTGATAAACGTCGGAAAATCATGTGACAGTAAAATCGATCCTACGCCCTGGCGTAGTCTTAATCGGTAAATTTTGTCCGAAATACCGATTTCATAGACCATCTCTCGTACATATCGTTTTTCCAACGGTATTGCTTTTCCCGATGATCATTTCCTCATGTCATTGAACGGATTTTTTATACCAATTCCAAAAATTATAAGTTATTGTACCGTGGTACGATAGTACATACGCAAAAGTGCTCTTGCTGATTGAATGTACCAATAAAATCGTGTGCGCATACTAATTTTTTATGTGCGGAATGTCACATGAATGAATAAAATATCTAAGGATTTGGTCTGCTAGCATGGTTCCAATACATCTTATAAAGATTTTATTCATTCATTGATCTATTTCCATACTATGTATCATGTTAATACTTTGCCTCTATACGATAACGGGATTATCATCCAGCAGTTGTTACTATCATATGTATTTAATCATATTAAATAAATAATACGTTCTAAAATAATGTAAGCCCAAAATTTTGTTACCGTACCGCGTGGTCTAATAAAGTATCCAGTTGATATGTACATACATAACAAAAAATTTATAAATCACTTACATCACATATCACATACATATAAAAAAATAGCATTTTAAATATTGATTTAAGCTATTTATCACGCCGGGCACTTTAGATTATACTGTACATGTAGTCGAAATTATTTCGACTTGAATCGAAATTATTACGGTTTATGTGTCATGAATAAACCGAAATAGTTTCGGTCATATGTATAGTTTAAGACCACGCGGTACGACGTTATGATGATGAATGAAAGATATTCAATATTTATTTTTAATAAAAATTGCTTATGAATGACAATAAATTACGATTGGATGCCAATACGGATTATATAATTATAAAATTATTACGAAATATTTATTATTAAATTTCAGTCGGTGAATGAAGATATAGATATTCGACGTGAATGAAGATACAGATATTCGACATGTATGATGAGATCTGAAAAAGAATAACCGTTGAATACGATTGGATATCCCGAAAAGAACTAACTATTCATAATTTATTTGTTAAAAATTTTTTGGTTGATGGTTGATGAATGAAACCATGAAAATACATCTGGGACATTTCAGTTAAAATGATAAATAAAATGTTCATGTATAATGAATATTCGGTAGTCACTGAATATCGGATCGGATCGGATCGGATCCCCAGTTTAGATTAATTCCAAGGAAAAAAGAAAAGTTCAGTTCGCCGAAATGAAAAAAAAGCCGAGGGTATTATACATGTATTTGTCATATGACAAAACACGTTAATGCATTTGATTAATGTTGTAAAATTGACACTTTTCAAACGAATATATAGCAAATATGCAATGCATAATTATATAGTAGAAATTAAGATAGTATGTATAGTTAATAAAGCATGTATAATAGAAATTAAGATAATATGTATAGTTAATAAAGTATGTATAGTAGAAATTAAGAAAGTATGTATAGTTATTAATAAAGTATGTATAGTTATTAATAAAGTATGTATAGTTTGTAAAAGAAATTCTTTAGAGATTTTACCTATAATCTATACTAACCCTAACATGAAAACCTAACTCTAACATTAAAAAAGGATGAGAAATTTCATAAGTTTTGCTAACTATGTACTTTCGTAAATTTTCTTAGCTTACATCTATACAAACAATGGTATACATTACTTTAGATATAGTACATACTGTAATACCCTTTTCAAGCTCGGACATATACATATGTACGTATCGGTATGTACATATCGATTGTCGTTTACAATGAAAAACCAATGTTATATTAGTATAAAATTGAATCCTGGATATCATTGGTTTCATCTAAATATACTTATGTCAAATTATCATTGTTCTGCTACAATTTTTTTTTTTGAGTTTGTTGTTTCCTGTCTGACCAATTACAACTAATTAAAGTTAATGCACATAATCATTCATTACAGCATTACACGCATACGTTAAGCTTAAAAAAATTAGCCTTTTTTTTTTTTTAATGATTTTTTACTTATGTAGTAAAAAGCATTAAACATAAAAATCTATTATTAGATATCAAATAGTAATATTCGCACGTTTAAAAAACTACATAATAGCATACCTACATACCTACATACCTACATACCTACATACATATATACCTGATACATGCATATATATATACCTGATACATAAATATGCATGTCGCATATATGCATATACTTGTATATCTTTAAATAGTATCTCATAGTGAAAATTAATCAATTTCCGATGTTTATTAAAAATCCGACTCGTTCAATATTTAACTGTGCATTTTTTAAACGCACGGTCAAAATGTCATATGTATAATGATTATTATTAAAATGTTTTAATATGAATATAGGTGATCACTAGATCATCAGAAATAGACTATTTTTATTCGTATAGCAATAGGGCATAACTGTATAAGTATTTACATGGCTTACGTTGCTTACGTAGTTTACGTACGTACATAAAACTGTATGGACGTGCGTTCGTGCGTGTGTACTAACGCTAAGGCAATGAACTAGACTTTTAATTACATGAATTGACAAGTCGGTTGTGTCGGGTCCTTTGATCTTCTGACTGGTACAACATTGCAAACCTCTTCTAACCTTAATTATTAACGCGTTAGCGTAAAAGTAATATGGTAAAGTCAGTATAGTTATCTATCAATAGATGGACCATTCGATATCAAACACAAATATCAATTTCTTATTCATTTAGTACGTATTTAGAATTTCTAACGCTAAATGAAATGACCAGAAAGAAACCTTTCGCTAACATTCTACATAACTTGTAGATAGATAGATAGAATTCGCTTGTATATAGAGAGAATTCGCTTTTAAATAAGTTTTTAAAAAATTTTTAAATAATTTTTAAATAATTTTTTAAACAATTATCACAATTATCGCAAAAGGTTTTTATTATTAATGAAATTGTTTTTTTTATCTATTAATGCCTTATTAGAATTTTTATTGATTTATTTATTATTATTAAATTTTTTTTTTCTTTTTTTGTTTCTTTAAAGTTCTTTGGGTTGCAAAACACTAGTCACAAATATATATATATTGTCAATAATGCGCCTTGAACCCAATGCTTAGATTGGTAAAAGGAAAACATTGGAGTATGCTTATTTGAAAGCTCAATGTTCAAATGTAAAATAATAAGTAATAGTAAAAGAGGGTAGGGGGATACATACTTTTGGGCAAAAAAAAAATTATATTTTTAAAAAATTATATTTTTTCTTAAAAAAAAAAAAAAAAAAAAAAAGAAAAAAAAAGATACATCTAGAGTTATATATAGATATATATATATTTTTATCATAAATAGAATTTATAGAAAAAAAAAGATTTTTTTTGTTTTTTTTTTTAATTCTCTTCTGATTGTCGTATATACAGAAAAACATTGAAAATAATTCGAGAATAAAAAAGTATTAAAAAAGTATTATCGAAAAAAAAACAGCAAAAAATTGTCCGTTATTATCTTAAGCATGTTATTTCTCTCGATATCAAACTAAATTAAATGTAATTACTACTAATTTAAATGACTAGGAAAAACGTTTGCGAGTGGTGTAACTGGTGAAGTTGGGGAAGAAGTGAGCTCCATTGATTGATCAAGATAGGCAGCCTTCTTTCTACTCAATGGACTACTTTTAATTACATGATTATTTGGAAAATAAACAACGTCAAGTGATGATGTAAATTTAGCATTTTCACCATGAACCATTATTAACGGAGTGGATTGAGCACGCGTAGGTTCTTTAGTTAATGTAAGTGAAAGCTTACGAATGTGTGTTTGATGAGAAGTAGGAATATTATTTCCAGTATTATTAGATTTCTTATCTTGTAAACCAGAACAAGAAGCAGGTTTACGAAGTATAGGTTGACCTAAACCAAACATAGCTACTAAATTTGAAGGAGTCTCTGGACGTGATAAACTAGTATTTCCATTAATAACTTGATGAATACCACTGAATGAATCGATAGAACTTTTTCTTGAATTTAAAGGAGGAGTATCTAAACTCAAAGATTCCAATGAAGGACGTCGTGAAGATAAAGTTGAAGCAGAAGTGGAACCAGTTGAAGAACCAAAACCACTATTCCTAGAATAAAATGAACTTAAAGAACTATAACTTGCTTGTCTACGATGCATATTATTTGAAAGCTCTAATCTGTCCAAAACTATATCAACAATATTTCGACCACCCAAACGTTTTTCAAGTGCTGAAATCCAATCATTCATTTCTGATTCTGTATCAGCGAAAACGACAAGTGTGGTAGGTTTTTTCACACTATCATAATTTTGATTAGAATTAATCGAATCTTTTTCTCGAATGATTTTTTCAATGCGAATACAATAGGAAGATTTTTTAGTGGCAGATGAATCCTGGCTTACGGAATTATATGTTGAAAGGTTAAGAACACCAGCAGGTTCAGAACTATTCTAAAAAAAAGTGAACAAGAAAAGAAAAGGAAAGGAGAAGATGGTTAGGACACTTTAATAAATCATTAATTTTAAAATTTAAATTTAAATTTATATTAATTTATATTTATTTACCTTTTGCCGATAATAATATAAAGAATTTCCTTTTAATACGAACCAACGACGCTTCCAAGTTTTTCTTAGAGCATTTCCACCAAGTTTTGTTAACCAACCAGATTTAATATCTTCAAATTGCATTTTCTAAAAAATTTGGTGGTGATACTTGGAAGGGAGGAGGAAATTGTCCGGCAAAAGCCTCAGAATAAAAATGACGACAGAAGATGAGAAATATGCGAGGGTTAATAGTTAATGGAGTTAATGGAGTTAATGGAGGGAAGAGGAGAGGATTCTATGTATGATATGTACTTTGAAAGGTTTATTCAAGCACGAAGGGCGAATGAGAATATATATATATATATATACAGTATATATATTAGTTCTACTCAAACGGGTCAAGAAACCTAATCAAAATATCCTTACGACTAATGATCACTTGAAAGGAAAGTAAGTTGATCAAGTTGACCGTTTGGAGAACTTTAATTTTTTTTTATAATTGATGAACCAGATGGTGGCGACGGACTGTAAAGTTTAAAAGTAAAGAAGGGGAAGAAAATCGTTTGGTTCAGTGATGCACCTATTTATACTAATTATTCGTTACAGATTACATAAAGGTAATACCATAAGTATATATACTGTATATATATATATCGATATACGTATATATATGTAAGTATATATAGATTTATATATATATCGATATACGTATATATATGTAAGTATATATATATTTATATATCCGGTAAATTAAATTAATTAAATTACAGTACAGTAACAGGAATTCATTTTCAAATATATAAATTTACGTAAGTACGTACGTAGAGGAACGAATATATTGGTTAAAATAAAAATAGATAAACGTATAATCGTAAAGTATATAATCGAAATAAAGTTCCGAACACAAAAAAGAAAGGCGTACATTTGAAGATCAAAAAGAGACCCTAAAATGTACTAAAAAAAATTAGAATGATGAAACCTAAGCGATAGTACGAATACAGCAAATACAGTTAAATTATAATTTGTGTCTATACCGTATATACCCCGTATTAACAAGCATCAAATAACCTCGTGCAGCGATCAATTCAGAAACAACCAACATGATTGAGTGTTCTATATAAAGAGGATCCATATAAAGTAGTTGGTAACATTTATAATAGTGTGAGTGTTTCTCTTTGTTTATAAAATGCAAATCTGGACCTTTGCAGGTTATTATTAAATGCAAAAGCACTTAAGTTCCTTATTTCGAGTGCTAAATTAAGTAATTTGTAATCTATGATTGAATAATGACTGAATTGTTGATATCATTCTAAATCGATAAAAATTGATAACATTTATAAATTTATAAATTTATAATATTATAATAATTATAATACCTTTCAAATTCCCTTATGACCCATGTTAGATAAACAACGTGACTCGAATTAATAACAATGACAGATTATCATTACTATACCTGTTCATATACGTATAATTGATAATTTATTTCATACGTATAATAACGATAATTGATATAATTGTTCGAATATTGTTCACAGTTATTCATATACCGATACATACCTACCCGTTATAAATAATGAACGAATGATATTAAAGAATAATATTATATAAATTGATTTTAGGAATTTAATTAAAATATTTATATTTTTGAATTATCTTAACAGTTAAATAACAGTTAAATAACAGTTAAATAACAGTTAAATTTATCTTAATCTATTTGTTAATCTATTTCTTAATCTATTTCTTAATCTATTTCTTAATCTATTTCTTAATCTATTTCTTAATCTATTTCTTAAT